ACTCCGACAGGCGCAGCTGCAGCCGCTTCACGGCCTGCGTGCGCGTGAGGTACTGCGCCGCATTGCCAGACTTTCCCTGCGGGGGGGAGGAGGGGCGGTGGCGGGCGAGGGGGGTTGGGGTGCTGCGAGCAGCTGCGGCGACTTCGTCGATGCTGCCTGTTGCTTCATGTAACTTCACAATTTGCACGAGCGCCGGCCGCCGAGCAAGCACAGCGACGGAGGCAGCATCAAGAACAGCGCCGCCTGCTGCCGCCGCTCAGGGGCGGCGGCGGCCGTCATACCAACTCAGTAGACCGCGCATAGCCATGTGCATCAGGTAGATTTCCCCAAAATTCATCTACTCAAAGAAGCGCGCGGGCGCTCTCTCGCTCACATCCGGGACCGCACTCTTTGTCAGGCCTGGCGAGCTCGCTACACCTCAAGCTAGCATACATTAGCACGCAGCTTCCTTCTTACCTTTTTCAGTTTTCTCCCCATGGCGTCCTCGCCGCCGACGGGGCACGGTCCGCGATCTAATAATACCCGTCAAGCGGAGTACAGGCACGCGGTGTGACGACCTGATATAATTTTTCAATTGGACCTTCATCACTCGCGCCAAGTCAAGGATGCGTGGGCCAAACCACATCGCGTCGCTGCTGGCCGTCACCCGACACCGCCGCTTGTCCAAGACAATGTTCCTGCTACCACTGCTCATGCAAGGGCCCCAGGCGCCAAGTACAAGTCAAGGCGTGCCTTGTGCCTTGACCCATGTCAAGCCCAACCACGCCACTGCGCGACGGCCAGGCAAGGCAGGGCATGCGGAGCTGGCAACTCGCAAAAATCTGCTGGCTCGCCAGCAGGATGCGTGAAGGCTGCAGTCAGTGCAGCTTGCAAGCAGCAGCTGAAACTCAAAGCTGTGGGGGCCGCGATGACGATACTTGGAATTAGGACCACGCACCCGTGGCCACGAGGCTTGAACCTGCGCAGGTAGTGGGCGGGCTGGCGTACAGCAGCTGTGTGAATCCTTCAGCGACATCGCCCCCCTTGGCCATGAGAGCGGTGCTGCCGAGGTGTAATCAACACAACAGAGCCCCCAGACACGAGTGCTCCTCAGAGGAGCCTGAGTCAGGCAGCCCGTGAATAATCTTATAGCATTAGAAACAGGCAGCTGCTGCATGAAGCTATTCAAGGCACCCGGACCTCGCCCTGCGGATGCACAAAGCCCGCATCTTTCCCCTGGGACATTGCGCTGTCACTAGAACCTCAGCTCACGGCACACAACAGCAGCAGCACCACCGGCATGGCAGCCCGTCCCTGCGCTCGCCGTGCATGGCGTTCCGCGCGGCTCCAGCAGCCTGCATGCTCTACGCAAGCGTGCAGCACGCCCGGCCCCAAGCCTTGCCTCGGAGGCGGGGGCCTCACAACACAACCAGGGCATCACCCGCCACCTCGTCATCGCCGCCGCACTCACCAGGCTCCCTCTCCTGCCGTGCTTCAGCGAGCGGCGTGGCGCCGGATCTGAACACGGCGGTGGCAGCGCTGGGGCTGGGGTCAGTGGCCACAGAGCCGTGGGGGCCGCCCACGAGCCTGGCGAGCCTGACGGTGTCATCATTCTGGGTGGGTAAGGGCAGCAGGCTTCATGAAACGACGTCACGAATCCTCTCGAGGGGAGTGTGCAGGGGAGCAGCCCCTTGGCGGTCTTGCACCTGAGGGCCAGGGGAAAACTTTGGATGGGAGCGGCTGTAAACCCGCGGTGCTGTCCTCAACTGGACCGTATTTTGAGCTATGCGCGTACCGTACTCATCAAGCACCAGCCGCTTGACCACACTTGCACAGGACTCCTCTCTGCTCAAGAGGAGGGCCGTCTCATTTGTTCCGCTTTGGCTCTCGCGTTGTCGCCACGACTCCCACCATCTGCGGCCCAAAGGCCCTGGCCGGTCCTACACTCTCTCAGACCCACACACCCACACCTGCTTCACTAGAACGCACCCCGCAAACCTCCCCTCGCCAGCGGCCTCCTAGCCAAACCGTGACTCACCAAGCATGCAGCCCGCCACGCGCGTGTCCTTAAGAAGCACTCACACGGCAATGCTGATCGTTCTAACGGGGCTGGGCTCATCGTCCTGCCGGGCATCTGCCTGATTCATTAATGAGAGGAGAGGAGGGCAGTCCACAGACTTCCGCACATGGCGGGGGGAGGGGGGGCTGGATCCAGTGTTTACTGCCGCCCGCGTGTGCGTGCACCGAAGAGGCACAGAGTCCCCAGAGGCCAGGCAGGCCAAGGGCGGAGGGCCACGGCAAGCTGACGTCTGATGTGAAATCAACGCTTTTGTGTGCCGCTGACTACAATGTGTGCCAAGTATCCTGCCACATTCAACGTGCTGGGCTTTGAACCCACCAACGCCGGTTGACAGCTTGCCTGCGCCGCGTTGATGAGACGGCGGCGCGGGCACGGCCATTTGCCCCCAGACGGGGCCCCCATGCAGGGAAGCCCCCGTTTGCGCCGGCCGCCGGGTCAGCTGCTGCCCGCTGCTCCTACGCGGTAAGACTCCAAGTGCCCGGCCCGAAACCGCGAACACCGGGCCTCTACTCCTTCCGGAGGCCGCAGTCATCGGAAACACACGTGGATGGTCCAGAGGCAACCCTCATTTCCCATGCCACACATGTTGCAGCGTCCCCCGGGCATCGGGTGGGGGTTTGCCAAGCCCCGGCCCGCGGACCCGGGATCATCAACCCGAGACTCAGGCCAGCAGCCCGCATCTGGTTCGCACGCAAGCATAGGCAAACGCCGGGGCAGATGCCCGGCTAGAGCCTCGACCCGTACTTTGCAGGTATCTTCTTTGCAAGCAACAAGTGCACCAAGAGCAGCGCGCAGTGTCCCCGCATGCAGGACGGGCGCTGCAGCGCTACGCGACCTACTGCATGGAGCCGATCCTACGCTATGGGGTGGGGCGATGTGGCAAGCCACACGAAGAACGCGTGCACAGTGGATACAATCATTGCATGTGCTTACCTAAGGCACAGCGCTGATTCGGCTAGCTACTAAAAATTATGTAAAAAAGAAACCGATCAGGGGAAGGTGCCATCACAGCGTTGGCTTACCAAAAAGTCGCTTGAGGGTTTTTATGTACCGTACCCGTAGGCAATAGGTTTGGCGGCCCACTCGCACTGGTCCACTGGGCGATGCTTCGATTGACGGTCGATCAACTTCGCCATCTACACATGTTTTGTCACAGGTTAATTGTTTTATATCGATATCCTGCGTCAACGTTCCTGGAAGGCTGCTGGGCTGGAAAATGCGGGGGCACTGGTTGGGAAGGTAGCCAGCAGGTAGCCAGCAGCGAGGAGGACGCAGCCAGCCATTCTGACAAAACTTGACGATGTGAATTCACGGTATACTTTGTTTTGAATTCGCCCCGCAGGCCAGTCACATGTTAGTTCAGCAGCGGCTGCCAATGACCGTAGCGCCTTGCTTTGCTGGGGTAGCAGGCGCCCAGGGACCCGTCTGCACTGGCTCGGCCGTTGCGGGTTGGAGTGCGTAGCTGCAGTGAGAGGCAGGCAGGTTGTCTTTCCGCAGCCCCGGCGTGGGGCCAGACCACAGCCCTGCGCAGGACCTTGGTGTTTGAGGTTCACCCAGAGCGCTCGGGGCCAACTGTCGCCCGCCGATTACCAGTCTTTGGCTGGGTATCAGACTAGCTTGGACTGAGCCTGGACTGCCATCGGCCGCCAGCTTACAGCAAGACAACAGGGCAGCAGGAAGGGCAGCTCGTAAGGTTTTGGCATGGGGCGTAGTATGGCGCGACACGAGCCTCCGGTGTGACTGCGTGATGAGGCCGAGCAACCAGACTGACGACCCGAGGATCCTGATCCCTCCACCGCAGGCATCATCAATGCTCGCTGCTCTGAGTGCGTAGAAGCCTTCTGAGTCTGAATGGCTCCGCGGCTGATTCGACACGTTTACAATTCGCTGATGGCACAAAGCACAACAAACTAAGCAAGGACACACCACCCCAGGCGGTGCGCGCCCGCCTCACAGCACGCCGCAGTCCTGGACGACGACGGGCGTGATGGGGCGGTCGCCGCGGCCGGTCTTGGTGGCGCTGAGGGTGTCCACCACCTCCCTGCCCTCCAGCACCTTGCCAAACACCACGTGACGGCCCTGTGAGAGGGCCGTGAGCACGAGGATGCATGCATGGCTGAGAATGTGTGTCTGCATGGCTGTGTGTAATCATGATTGTGTGTGTATATTTGTGTGCGTATTTGTGACTGTATGTGTTCGTGTGTACGCGCGAGCATACGCGCACGCAGCAGCTCCGTGAGCTCAGCCACAAGCGGAGATGTAAGCGACACCTGCGATTGTGCACGACCCCCCGAGAGGTGAAAGACAACCGGATGTGCGCGACGTTTGCAAGTTGACCGCTTCGGGCCATTTTCAACAATATGTTTGCCTGAGTGCAGCAGGCGGCTGGTATTAATTCGAGGGCGCGCACCGACAGCCAGGGGGTGTCCACGGTGGTGATGAAGAACTGGGAGCCGTTAGTGTTGGGGCCCGCGTTGGCCATGGCCAGAACGTACGGCTCGAACTGAAGGGATGGGGGTGGGGGTGCGCGAATGGGTGTGCAGGTGTCTGTGGAAGGGGCGTGAGCATGGGCAGCAGGCAGTGCCAGTGCAACTGCTGTCCGGTGGCCGTCGGCCGCTGCATAGCGCCTTGCACACGGTGGCTGGGAATGTGATTAAAGCTTGCCCACCACCTACCTACTCCCACCCGTTGTCGCAACACAGCACATGAGCTTTCATGAAAACCGCGATCTCAGGCATGCGCGCACCTTGTTCTCAAAGTTCTCGTCCCCGAAGCGGCGGCCGTAGATGCTGTACCCGCCACGCCCGTCACCCCGCTCAAAGTCGCCGCCCTGGCAGGAGTGGCAGGTGAGCGGACACGTCAAGGCAACCAGGTTGAAGGCAACGGGAGTGTCCCGCAGGCTAGGCTTATCATGAAGCAGCTCATGAGACCCGGGCAGGCTTTGGAGGCGAGTTGGTGCAGCAAGGTGGACCGCGCAAACCCTGTGATGTACCACCCCTGCCCCACCTGGCACATGAAGTTGGGGATGATGCTGCAGGGGGGATGGGGGCGGGGTGGGGGTGGAGCAAGGGAGACGGACTGTGGGGAGGCAAAGACTGATGACACGCCCCGGGCAAACGCAGATAGTGGTGGCTCCAGGCGCACCAAACCGCATGAGGGTGCGCCAAGTGGCACACATTGCCGATCCTGCCTTGCTGCGCGTCGTGCTCCAAGGTCTCCCCTTTCCCTTTCCCCCTCGTTCTTGGGCTGGCAGGGCCTTGACCAGGCCGGACCCATTGCTGGCTGACCCCTCCCCCAGCGCACAGCCCCTGAAAACATTGCAGCTCCTCGCAAACAACCGAGCCCCCACCGGTGGAAGATGGAGCCCTTGTAGCCAAAGCCCTTCTCCCCAGTGGCCAGCGCCGCAAAGTTGGCAGACGTCTTGGGGGTGTTGTCTGGCAGGGCGGAGGGTGACCACAGCAAGTCGAGGGGTTCGAGGTGAAGACGCGCCGCACCCAAGTGCCCCACGCTCCGCAGGGGCGTGCTGCTGCGGGCTTTCAACAGCCCTCGCACTTCAACCTGGGCTCCTTGCCCTTTGCGTCACGCCGGCCCGTGCGACGACCCAAACAGCTGTCATCAGGGGGGCGCCCTGATTGACGGCCGGCGCGCGCACCGTAGAGCCCCAGCACGACGCGGCCCAGGCTCTGGTCGCCCTGCACCAAGTCGAAGAACACCTTCTGGGACACGACCGGCTCGGACGCCAGGGCGCTGACAAGGAAATGCAAAGGTTGGGTTGCGGTGAGAAGTGTGAGTGCGTGCGTGCGTGCCGTTGTGTGTGGTTGTGTGTGTGTGTGTGTGTGCACACGCGCGCACGTATGTGTGTGTGAGCGTGCGCGTGCGTGTGTGTGTGTGTGTTTGTGTGGGTGGGTGCGTGTCTGTAGCTGTACGCGTGCACGTGCGCACGTGTAAGTCTGTCAGTGGGTGTCACATGCGGGATTGCTGCTTGATGCTCTTGCCACTGGTCAAGAATTATGCATGCCAAGCGCGATCCGATCAGGGAGCCACGGGCACCAGGGCACTGCCGTATCGTGCTTGTGGTCACCTGCCAGAAAGCATCAGCGAGCCGGCTGCCGCCGCGAGCCCGAGCATCGTGCCACGCTTGGCCACCACAGGGGCTGGGGCGCCCGCCGCCTCCCCCGGCAACTGACACCCATTGGTCTGCTGGGTTGCCCGGACCACCACACGCGCGATCCTGTTGCACGGAGCCGGGACGGTCAAGCTCGCGCGCTGGCCAGTGGTCGCGTTGATCTTGCTGCCGTGGATCTGCATTTTGTAGTGCTTTGCAATTTGTTGTGGTGTTGAAACCTTCGACTCAGATGCGTCTCCACTGCTCGTGAATGGCGCTCATCAGAGTTTACTTCGTGGCGGCGTTGGGATTGCCTTGTCACCGGGTGCCTGTCTCGACTGCGGATGCTGGGCTGTGCCGCCCTCCGGCCCTGGTTCAACAGGCGGCCGCAGCCCCCAGAGCCGCTGGCCTGCTCCTTCTCTCAGGTCTAATACCTCCAGCTGCTGCCGCCATGCATCTGCTGCTCGGCCGCTGCGTCCGCCGCCGCCCACCCCTCCAGCATCCCTGCGCCGCCGCGCCCACTCCCAAAGCGGGGCCAGCTCGTCCGCCGCGATGGCGTAGCTCCACCGCGGCAGCGTCGCGCCGCGGTGATGGCGTGTGTTGGACGTCACGAGCCCCAGCAGCCGCCCGCGGCAGTCGACGAGCGCGCCTCCGCTCGCGCCGGCATGCACTGCCGCCGTCACGACCAGCATGCTAGCTCTCCCCGCGCCCCCACCGCCTTGCGCCGCGGCGGGGGGCGGCAGCCGCACGCAGCGCCCCAGGCTGCCGCGCGTGATTGACGGCGACCAGCCCAGCCGCGGCGCGAACAGCCCGTGGCCGAGGACAAACACGCAGCGCCCCTGCGCGCAGCACTCCCCGCCATGCGCGAGCCGCATTGGCGTAGGTTGCGCCGCCGCAGGGCCCGCGCCCGCTGCCGCGGGCACGACCACCCCATGCGGGCCATGCTGCGGCGTCTGCAACAGCTGCAGCACCGCGACATCCAGGTAACCCCTGAAACGGCGCAGCAAGACAGCCGGAAGCCACGCGCCGCCGGCGCCGCCCCCACCGCCGCCGCCAACGCGCACCCACACGGACGCGGACGCCGGGCCGCCCGCACCCTTGCCGCCGCCGCCGCCGCTGCCGCGGCGGCCGCTGCTCCCGCTGCTGCCGTCGCTGCTGGTGGCGTCTTCTGGCAGCAAATGTGCATTGGTAAGGACCAGACCGTTGGGCAGAGCCACACCTGTCGCCCAGCTGCCAGCCACCCGGATCAGCACCACGCCCGCCAGGCAGCTGCTCGGCAGCCCCTGGCATGTCCCGCAGCTGCCGCCGGCGTTGAGGCACTGCTGCAGCGAAAGGAGCGGCGGCTGGCCGCCCTGCCGCTGCCCCTGCTGCTCATGGGCGGGCAGGGCCTGCTGCTGCCAGCGCAGGTGCTGTTCCAGGGCGCGTGCGGCCAGCGGCAGCAGCTGGCGCGCCGCAAACGCCACCAGCACCTCACAGTGCTGCGCCGCCGTCGAAAGCGGGGGCGCCAACACGCCAAGCAGGCTGCCGCAGGACCTGCGCGCGAGAGATAGCGGGCGGTGAGATCATGGCGGCGCCCACCCCTGCTACTTCAATACGGCTTGCATACACACGCATGAGAGCGCGGAGCGCGGACCGGCGCGCAGGAGAGCCTTCTGCTGCAGGCTGCCGCGCCTCACTCGCAGGTCAGGGGCGCGCCCTCCATCCCGGGGTAGCAGTGGGCGTCCACCAGAAACAGGCTGCCGCCGCCGCCGCCGCCGCCGCCGCCGTCGCCGTCGGCGGCCCCGCTGCCGGCGCCGCTGCTGCTGCTGGGTGCGCCCCGTGCGGGTGGCAGCATGTTGGACACGCAGCCGGCCACCACGGTGCCGCTAAAGTGGTAGGGGGCTAAGCAGCCAAAGGGCGAGCCGGTCGCGAGGAGCGGCTGGCCGGGCGCGAGCGAGCCACAGCAGCAGGCGGGCTGAAACGCAGCCGACGGCTGCCCCTGCTGCTGCTGCTGCTGCTGCTGCTGCTGCTGCTGCTGCTGCTGCTGCTGCTGCTGCTGGTGCTGCAATACAGCGCCCGGCGCTGCCACTTCCAGCAGCGCCCACGTGGCCAGGAGCTCGGCTCCGTCTCCTTCCGCCTGCTCAAGGGATCGCAGGATGTCAAACGCACGCCACAGCTGGTCAAACGATGCCATGTGAGGCGATATCCCGCCACAGCATAGCACCACCTCAACAGCAACCTAGTGCCTCTGGCCCCAGAGGCGAGGTAAGGTGCTCAGCACCCCCAAGAGCTTGCATGTCTGTGTGCTTGAGGCGGCATGCGTCCAAGCATTCAGCACGGGGTCGGCATCTGTCTGCTCACCCCCTGGGCCTGATCCAGCCACCACCCCACTTTCCAGGACGGCCCGCCGCCTTCGTTGAGATCCCGCAGCGTCCGCCGCGCCTGCGCCAGCGCCTGGCGGCACTGCAGCGTGCACAGCAGGCGCGCCGGCAGGCGGGCCGCCTCGCGAGGGCCGCGGCGCGCGGCCGCAGACGGGGCCGCCGGCCCCAAGAGGGTCACGTGCAGCGTCGTTCCCGGTGCAAGGTCATCTGCCGTGGCGGCGGCCAGCCGTGTGCGTGCGGCGGGCAGGAAGAACGGCAGCAGCAACGATGCGGGTGCAAGGACCCAGAGGCGCGACGGCGCCCCAGAAGCGTCGCCTCGCCCATTATTGGGCACGGCATCGGCAAAAAGCACCAGGCCGCTGCAGGAGAGGGTAACAGCGCTGCCTTTGGACGCCGAGAAGGCAGCCCGAGCTGCTTTGAAGCCTCCAGTGTCGGCGCCAGTGGCAGCGACGATGCAATGCGAGGGCGTCGTGACTGAGGGCGGCCTGTCGTCAGTGCCGGCGCTGTGAGGCCCGGCGCAGCTGGGCGACATATGAAACGCAAGCGATAGGGTTGCGATTACGCGCAGATGGGCGCTTTGTTGTTTTCTGGGGCAGCGGGTAGTGAGATCAATGTTTAGTCCCTTAGAAGTTTCAGAACGCTTGTACGGTATACAGCAGGTGTTGTCACTGATCGACTATGGTTTCGAACATGCAGCGAGCTTTACATACAGGGCCGTTGCCACCTCAACGTGATCCCGCCTGCTCAGCACGACACGCTTAAAATTGAGAAGCAGCGTAGTGTGAGCTTTGATCTTACTGGTGCGTCTCAGGAGGCGGAGTGGAGGGCGCAGCAGTCAGGGCACAGGTCGCCCTGCATGGCTCGCGCCCCCTGCCTCCCCACCCAGCTGCCTGCATGTACGCGACGGCTGTCAGCAAGGCGCAATAGGCACACGAATACCGACGTGCACCGATCATGGGCTGCGCGACGCGAACGACGAGTCCCGTGAGGGTCGCTTGCCTGACACGCAGGGCACGCGTGCGTGGCGTCATTGCCCCCGCCCCTCGCAGGCGGCAGAGAAGCTCACGCAGGGAGTGCAGTGAGCCCTTCTTATCTCAGCGCCGGCGCGTTCCCCTGCTCAGCTCCAAAGGCGGCGTCAGACGCGCCGCACACCCCGCTCGAGGCGCGCCCCCGCAGCTGCGGCAGCGGCGACAGCGGCAGCGGCGATGGCGGGCCAGTTCCAGGCGTCGCGCTTCAAGGTGCGGCTGGAGAGCGATGACGGCGAGCAGCGCGTGACGGTGGTCGTCGGCATGGACGGCCTGAAGATCATGAACGAGGCCGGGTCGATGACTAAGCGCTCCTTGGACCTCAAGCACATCAGCAGGTGTGCATGGAAAGGGGTGTGTGTCAGTCGCTGTTGCACGCGTGCGAGGGCGTGGGATGGCACGGCTGCGACGCGCCAGGCTCCCCGGCCGCGCCGCCGCATGCGATTCGCGCGCGCTGCGCCGCAGCGCCCCGCCGCGGCCGGCCCGTGCCGGCTGGCACCCTTTTCCTGCC